GGGGGGGGGGGGGGGGGGGGGGGGGGGGGAGGCGGTTGCTACTATAGGGTGACAGGAAGCTGCTCCTATATGGTGATACAGGCTCAGCAGTACCATCTACCAGAAGAAGCTAGGTGCATTTAACACTACTGTACAGTTCATAAATTGTACCCTCGGTCCCTCACCAGATCTAGTGCAATAAAAGTAGCAGATTTGATGGCCAAGGTAACTGCAGGCCAGTATTCTGTGATATTTTCTGCATGTATATCAACCACTGGAATATTCTTCACTGCCATAGTGACATCAGATCATATATGTCCCAAAATTCGTCAAAAATTCATACCTTTATATGATTTTTTTTATAAAAAACAACATCGTTCTGTAAACGTATTAAACTTAAAACGTCAGTCCTGAAAATATTAAGATCAGTGGTTTGATGGAGGAAGATTTCGCGCCTGATTTCCACTTGATTGAAATTGAAAGGCAATTTCGAATTTTCGATTGAAAATTTTTTGAAAATAGAATATTTCAAAAATATCTTTATATTGTTAATTAATTATTGTATAACTATTTTAACATTGAGTTTTAAAAGAAAGGAAATTTGAAAACTATATCCTGGAAAATATTTGAAAAGGAACCATATAATTTGATACTGAATAAATCTCTGAATAAAATTATTCTTATTTTAGGTGTTACAAACTAGAGAATATTAATTTCAGATCGAAAGTGAAGGAGTTTCGGAAAGGAAAATGCAAGAAAATATTAGATTAATTTCCGAAATTCGGGAAAAGGAAATCTCGAGGAAATTTGAAGAAATTTGAAATTTCAGTTGACAAAGAGCCCGCGATTAAACTTCATATGCAACCAAGCATGCGCAGAACAAGGACATGTGTAAAACATAAACGTTTTGGAGCAAAAATCACAAAGCTAGTGGCAAAAATTTGTCAAAAAATCATTTATTTCTAGTATTTGGAGAAGGATTATTTGGTGAACAATTGCTAGTTGTGTGGTGAAAACATAGTGCCAACACCATTCAGATACTATGAAGCTTACAGCTGATCTCATTCTGCAGTCAGCGCAGTTTACAAATGCACTGAAAGACAGAGAACTTGATCTACGAGGTATTATTTTGCTTTCATGTTCTATATTATTCACTTATAGTGTTCAATTTGTTCATTATATGGAAAGAATCAGCTTTGCGAATTAGGCTATATCAGCATCAACATACTGGGTGTGCTGGTATGTTGCCTAATTTTGGTATGGGCTTTGACAACTATACTTCTCCTATGATTATGATTTGTAATATGGTGATTCCAATTTATCCTCACCCCCCCCC